AGACCCAGGAGTCCAGGCCCCCAGCCCCTCCTCCCTCAGACCCAGGAGTCCAGGCCCCCAGTCCCTCCTCCCTCAGACCCGGAGTTCAGGCCCAGCCCCTCCTCCCTCAGACCCGGAGTCCAGCCTGAGCTCTCTGTCTTATCCTGCCCTCAGGTGTTTGCCGCCTGGTCCTGGTCGTGCTGAGCCTGTGGCCAGATACAGCTGTTGCCCCTGGGCCACCACCTGGCTCCCCTCGAGCTTCCCCAGACCCTCGGGCCGAGCTGGACAGCACCGTGCTCCTGACCCGCTCTCTCCTGGAGGACACACGGCAGCTGACTATACAGCTGGTAGGAGAGACTGGGCTGGGGCCAGCACAGGAGTGAGAGGCAGAGAGGAATGGAGAGATGTCTGTGGGCAGGCCACTTGAAGGGATTCTGGGCTCTCGGGTGGCACAGTGAGGGAGAGGAAGAGTTGGGGGCCTGGCGTGGGGGATGGAGGGAGCCCCTAGGCTGGGCAGGGGCCCCCCTCACAGCCTTTTTCCCCTGCCAGAAGGACAAATTCCCAGCTGACGGGGACCACAACCTGGATTCCCTGCCCACTCTGGCCATGAGCGCGGGGGCACTGGGAGCTCTACAGGTAAGGGCAGGGGAGTGGGCTGGGGACAAGGCAGGAGGCAGGGAGTAAAGGGGGTGGGGAGGATGAGGGGCACAGTGGGCACTGGCTGGGTGTTCTCTGATGTCCTGGCTCTGTCCCCAGCTCCCGAGTGTGCTGACAAGGCTGCGAGCGGACCTACTGTCCTACCTGCGGCATGTGCAGTGGCTGCGTCGGGCAATGGGCTCTTCCCTGAAGACCCTGGAGCCGGAGCTGGGCACCCTGCAGACCCGGCTAGACCGGCTGCTGCGCCGGCTGCAGCTCCTGGTATGTCCTGTTCCCAAGACCTGACACCCCAGACCCCCACCCCGGCCCCAAGATCCTGTGGCCTGAGTCCTTGAAGCCTGAGACCCCAGACCTAAGTGCAACAGCCCTGCTCTGAGACCCTGCCTCTACAGCCCCAAGATCCTGTGGCCCTGAGACCTTGAGGCCCTAGACCCCCAAATCCCGCCCAGAAACTCCAAATCCTCACCCCAAGACCCTGAGACTCCATCATCCATGACCTCAAAGTCCCCATATCCCAGCCCCTAAGACCCAAGACCCCACCCTGAAGCCCAAAGACTTGGGAATTCAAATCCTCAACTCAAGACTTGGAGACCCTGGCCCCATGGTGTTGAAAACCACAGACCTGGCCGGGCGCGGTGGCTCACGCCTGTAATCCCAGCACTTTGGGGGAGGCCGAGGCCGGTGGATCACCCTAGGTCGGGAGTTCGAGACCAGCCAGACCGACATGGCAAAACCCTGTCTCTACTAAAAATACAAAATTAGCCAGGTGTGGTGATGTACGCCGGTAGTCCCTGCTACTTGGGAGGCTGAGGCAGGAGAATTGCTTGAACCTGGGAGGCAGAGGTTGCAGTGAGCTGAGATC